ATATATGCATATATATACATAAATGCATGAATATTATATATAATATATATATATATATATATTAATATATATATATATATATATATGCATGCATTCAGGCATGCATACATACCTATATGCATGCATGCATGCATGCATATTATACATATACGCATGCACGCACATATGTATGTATGCATGCATGCACATGATAAAAGGAAAGAAAGCTGCAGATATAACTTGATAGTTATTTAGAAATAAAAGAAGAAAAAGCATTTGTGTTGTGCTTGCATGCAGCGAGTGTACCGACCTCTTCAGCCTTATCGCGAGGAAAATAAGCAGAGAAGTACTGCCTATACACCGCAGCATCTGTTGGATTGCTGCAGACGAATACAACAGCATCAATATCATCAATCATCTTTTCTATCCATCTACGAAGGCTGCGTAGCAGCGTGTGAAGCACAGCATAATCTCCGCCTAAAGCTGCAACAGCATCAGGATCAGGCTCAGCTGCTGCTGCTGCTGCTGCTGCTGCTGCTGCTGTTGCATGTCTTCTGCTCTCTCGTCGCTGCAGCAGCGACAACTTAGGAGGCAGAGAAGGTATTGCTACAGTACGCAAGCGTGCTTCCTTCATCTCCATCAGCAATTCTCTAATACTGCCGTTCAGCGCGTTGTGCGTTGCTGTTACATATCGATTAGTAAAGCGCGGAGTCACCTGTAGTAAAAATAAAACAAAGAAATAAAAATAAACATAAGACCTGTACACGTCAACATTAACAAAAAAAGAGTAGATTCAACAAATAAAAAAGAAGGAAAAGGGCTCAGGATGCATGCAACAATATTATTTTATGCTCAGCTACAAGTGGTAATTGTGCAAACAAAGAAAACATGAATTTGAATATACTCTAGAGAAGTCAGTTGCAGTGAGGTCAATAAAGAGAGAAAGGCGGCTTTATTCTTCTGTCTGTACACACTCTCTCTCTCTCTACCTCTCCTTCTGTCTGTCTCTCTCTTTCTCTGACTCTGTCTCTGTCTCTCTCGCTGTCTCTCTCTCCCTCTCTACCTCTCCGTCTGTCTGTCTGTCTGTCTGTCTGTCTGTCTGTCTGTCTGTCTGTCTGTCTGTCTCTCTCTCTCTCTCTCTCTCTCTCTCTCTCTCTCTGTCGTACGTACATACACCGAAAAGAACAGCAAAAGATATTATTTTCATGTTTAGAAGTAAGATGGTCTCACAGTATATGCCAAATGCGTTGAAGGCAAATTAAATGAGCGACAAATTCTTGTTTCTCCTGCCCTGCAGGTATCTTGATAAGAAACCTCTGCGTACAGATCCTCTCCTCCGACTGTACATACACCGCAGCACCGAGGTGGAAAGCGTGCATTTTAAGAGATTTGAGCCTACATTATTGATGATATATTGCAGATATTTATTTTAAAAACAATATTTAATCTATTAAAGCCATTTAAATGCATTTTCCTTCAGCTTACTCGAGAGAAGTCGACGAGAAAATTCATCAGAACCCGTAAAGCCGTCGGTGGTGAAGCACATTATGCAATCTGTTCTTAGAGCGCATATATCTCCTTCAAAGATATAAATACGTTTATTAACATTTAAATCAACAGGAAATGCAATTAAAGGCTTCTCTTCGCTCTTTATGCATGCATGCAGACCGCTAGCCCCTGTAGGAGTGTGCGTTGCTGTTGATGCCTCTGGTGTATACGCAGTTGGGCTCTGTGATCTTCTTTCGCTTCCGTCTTCTAGCTCCAGCTTAGCCTCTTGCCTGCATTGCAATAAATACATGCAGTAGGTGCAAAGATAAACCCTAATAAACCCTAATCTCGCGTTTCTATAAACCCTAGTACATAGTCCCGTCTCAATAAACCCTCAACACCAAACCGTTCGTCTCTAAACCCTAAACCCTAAACCCTACGTCTGTAAACCCTCAAACCTAAACTGTTTGTTTTCAAGCACTAAACTCTAAACCCTACCTCGCTGAATCCTAACCCTGAGACCCAAAAGCTCGATACCCTTGACCCAATATCTCTAAACCCTAAACCCTAAACCCTAAACCCTCACCAGTTGAGCAGCGCCTCTAGATTGACAGCCTTTGTTACGGGTCTCTGCACTCTGCGGTTTTGCTGATAGGTTGGAGAGTAAGAGGCTGAGGGCCCCCCAGGTGTATTCTCTTCATTGAAGTCATCTAAAGATTTGCGTATTTCCTCCGTTACCCACGCAGCAGCATCTTGAATAAGGTCGCCGAGCGACATGGCGCTGAGCTGTACAGACACCCCAATTCAATTCAGATCAGCGCAGCAGCAAATGCATGCAGCGATTGCAATCTACCTTCTTCACACCGGACGGCCGCACGGGCGGAAGGCAGGTATAAGCGATGCTGCTGATGCTGCTGCTGATGCTGCTGCTGATACTGTTATTGCTGCTGCTCCTACTGTTGCTGTTGCTGCTGCTGCTGCTTCGCTTGAATTAGTCCATTAATGCCGTGCATGCAGGCGGCGCTCTTTGCGTCGCTCCCTGCTGTTGATAGGGAAGAAGGCGGTGGTGTTGGTATGTTTTGCTGCTGTTTAAAGATATAAATATAAATAGTGAAGGAGGATCTTCGAGTTGTACTGCTGCAAGCTTGTCAGGGGCTCTATAGGGTGTTGTTACAGCCGACGTGGAGATGAATAAATTCCTAGTCTCGGTGCTGCTAAAACTTGATCACAAAGGGGAAATAAATTGCTTTTTTAAGGTTTCTTTTGATATTTAGGATATAAAATTAATATAATTAATCACAAAGAATAAAAATACTCGTCTTCGTACTTACAACAACCGCGCCCACCGCCCCGGTTGGTTGAGCAGAACTCGCGGCGAGAAACTGAAGGACCCTTCTGTTGGTTTGCAGTAAACAGAGGTAGAGAGAAAAGAAATGACAAAATGTTTCGAGTTTATTCAGCAAACAAACCAAAGAAAGCGTAAATTTCGCTGAAAATACCACTGGAATATAGTCATGTTTTTCAAAACAGCTCCTTCGGCGAGCGTCCGGTGCATGCGAGCCACCAGCAGCAAAGGAAGAAGAACTCCTGCATTAAATCAACAATAATAGAATAAATGAAATTAAAAAGAGGGAAAACTTATTAATTCTACGTTTACTCATCCATGAAAACATGAGTCGTCATACCAACTGCTGTACTATTCAGCTGTCTGTACACCGCAATCTCGCGACATTCATCCACTGCACAAAACACTGAGCGTTTCGCCTTCCACCTTCTTTTTTACTCTTTTAAATGCAATCATTATATAATTAAACAACACTAAGAAGCTGTTTAATGCCGCTTTGGAGCAGATATTACGGGGAAGAAGAGCAACTCAGTCGGCTACCCCCGATACTCCCTCCATTGAGGAAAACATAGAAAATGAATTAATTTTCCCTTCCATTGTTTACATACTTCGTTGAAAAAAACAACATAAAACCCCTTAATCCAGACACTGGGCTATCAAGCCGTATCAAAGCGTTAATACACTTCTTTGTCTTGCCTAAGGCACTTCGAAGACCCACTTGCAAATCTGCATAATTATAGAAGACGCTGAACTTACTAACTCAGCATGCCACAAAAAACCTAAATATAGACAAATAAATTAACTAATAATTAGTTGAGAACGTCCAGGAGTTGTTAAGCAGTAAAGATGGTTTAGGGTTTAGGGTTTAGTGTTTGGCGGTTTCGGGTTCAGATATTACAAGTGGAATAAAAGGAAATGCATATGTTGTATATACTTTCTATAGTTAGATATAAATATAAATATAAATTTGTCTGTATATCCAAGATAAAATAAATATATACATATATATCCATACATATCCCAAAAAATTCTCTTTTAAGTTTGTTTAAGTTGGGGGCTGTGGAGACACCCGAAGGGAATTTAAAGCGACGAAACCGAAGGCGGCGTTTCTCTAATAGGCAAATCTTGTGTCTGCTGCATGCACCAGCTGATCCTGTTGAATATATATATGTATATATATATATATGTATATATGCATTTATATACATATACATATATACGTACGTATATATATATATATATATATATATATTTATTTATTTATTTATTTATTTGTTACTATTCGCCTTTTCTAACTCCTCCACTCAAACATTGAACAATTCCACACAAAGATTAAAAAATTCGCAGCAGGGGGCCCCTAACCCTTTAAAGCCCCTTTTTTGGTGGTGGGGGCCCTTTAGTAGAAGGCGGGGGCCCCTTAGTAGAAGATGGGGGCCCCTTACTTGCAGGTGGGGGCCCCTTAGTAGAAGATGGAGGCCCTTTACTTGTAGGGGGGGGCCCCTTAGTAGAAGATGGGGGCCCCTTACTTGTAGGTGGGGCCCCTGGAGTAGAAGGCGGGGGCCCCTTAGTAGAAGTTGGGGGGCCCTTGGTTGAAGATGGGGGCCCCTTAGTAGAAGTTGGGGGCGCTGCTGTTGAATTAGGGGGCCCCTTACTAGAAGTTGGGGGCCCCGTAGTAGAAGGTGGGGGCCCCTTAGGTGTGGGGGGCGTTGGGGGTTTGCTGCTGATTGTCTTTGCGTTTTTTTCTCTGGCTGATCCGCCGCCTCCTTCGGGTGTCTGTGCAGGGGGTTTTGCTGCTGGTTCTGCTGCAGCGGGGCCCTGCGTGCTGCTGCTGCTGCTGCTGCTGCTGCCAGACGGGGAAGCCAGTTGCCGCAGCAGCGATGGGAACAGCCAGGGGGCATCTTCTTGTAGTTTGTGTGTTTGCTGCTTCTGCACATCTTCGGGCCTCGGTGTGCTGACTTCAAGCTCTGCTGCTGCTGCTGCTGCTGCTGCTGCAGCTGCTGCAGCAGAGTCTGCAGGTGTGTAGGGTATAGGTGAAGCAAGCATTTTATGTAGTAGAAATATTTGATGCGTAAGGAAGCCCCAGCCCTCTGCACTTGCCCTTCTTGCTTCTTCTGTTTGTGCTGCTAGCTGCAAGCTGCATGCATTTTGAATTTGTCTTCGTTTTAGGTTAAAAGCCTCCCATGTCTCTAGCAGCAAATCTGCAGCAGTGAAGCCCTTGCGATTGCGGTGTCTGTACAGCTCAGGTGGACAGTGCAGCAGCAGCAGCAGCAGCAGCTGCTGCGCTCTTCTCGTTCTTTCAATCATCACCTCTGGCTGAATAAATACTTCAGGGTCTTCTATCTCTACTTCTGGTAGTCTTATATCGATTTGCATTTCTTTTTTTAAGTTGCTGTTGCTGCTATGGTGTTTGTACACCCCAGGTGCTTCCTTTCTGCTTGTGCTGTACAGCGCAGCAGCAGCAGCATCATCAGCACCCCACAGCAACCCCTTATAATATATATTCACTTGCCTTGTAACTCCTGCTGCTACTGCATGAAGCACAGAGTGCTGTTCGCCTGATGTTCTTGCTGCTACTGCTGCTGCTGCTGCGTCTGCTGCGTCTGCTGCGTCTGTCGCCGTTGGTGCTGCTGCTGTTGCTCCGTGCTGCAGCAGCAACTCGCAGATGTCTCTGTCGAGTCTGTACGCAGCAAGACAAAGAGGAGTGTCCCCTCGATAGGTTTTTCTGTTTATATCAGCAGCAGCAAACGCTCCACACTGCAGCAGCAGCAGCAGCACCTCTCTCTGCCCAGCAACGCATGCAAGATGAAGCGCTGTGGCCCCCTCTATATTTGGAGCAGCAGCAAAACTTCCTGCTGCTATTAGCTGTTTGCAGAGCTGCTTCTTGCCTCGTGTTGCTGCTGCATGCAGCCCCAAAAACCCCCCTAGGAGCCGATGAGTGCATGCATGCAGCAGCCTGCTGCGGCAGCGAGAAGGGGTGCCCCCCCCTTGCATGCGTGCATGCAGCTGCTGTCCTCCTAACAAACCCTCAGCAGCACCAGACACAGGGGGCTGCTTGTTTTGCTGCTGCTGCTCCTGCTGCTGTTGTTGCTTTGCTGCTCCCGGATCTGCTGCTGAAGGTGACACCCCAAAAAAAGCTGCAGACCGCTGCTGTTGGCGCTGCTGCTGCTGCTGCTGCTGCTCCAGCTCGTCGCACCGCAGCAGCAGCAGCCGCAGAATCGCCGAGTCCGCAGCCACAGCAGCAGCAGCAGCAGCAGAAGCAGCAGCAGGGGTATCAGCTGTACATACACCCTGCTGCTCTTGCTGCACCTCCGCTGTCGTTCCGCATAAAGCCAGCAGTGCTGTCTCCCCCAGTGCTGTTGCATAGAAAATATCATATCCTATCTTCAGCAGCCTGTACACCCCACATGCATGCAACACCCTCGCTACGTGGATTTTCTGTGGTGTATGCATGCTACTTCCTCTGCTGCTGTTGCTGCTGTTGCTGCTGCTGCTGCAGATGCTGTTGTTGCTGCTGCTGTTGCCGCTTCTGCAGATGGTGCTGCTGCTGCTGCAGATGCTGCTGCTGCTGCTGCTGCTACTGCTGCTGCTGCTGCTGCAGCAGATGCAGCAGCAGCAGCAGCAGCAGCAGCAGCAGCAACAGCAGCAGCGAGCAAGAAAGGGAAAAGAATAGACGCACTCTCTTACAACATTTTTTTGTCTGTATAGGCAGGCTAGACCCAGCAGGGTAAGCCCTGTGGGGAGGTGAGGTATATCTTTGAGCTGCCTATACACCTGAAGAGATAAATTGCATTTGAAGCCTCTACGCACCAACGCCACAGCAAGAAAGAAAGGGTCGGAGGAGAAGAAAGCCCCAGCTTCCTATCGCACACAAATGCATGCAAAGGAGAGCAAATACTTCTTTGCTGCTGTCTCTCTTTCTATATCCTTTTGTTTATATATATATAATATATATATATATATATATCTTTGTTTATATTTATTTATTTGTCTATATTTATATGTATGTTTGTGTGTACGCCTATCTGTGTGTTTATTTCTATTTCTCGTTCCTTCTCTCTCTCTGCTGCTGCTGCTGCTGCTGCAGCTGTTGCTGCTGCTGTTGCTGCTGTTGTTGCTGCTGCTGCTGCTGCAGCTGACCTCCGGAGAAGCAAGCTGCAAGGTGGTGGCCTGTCTATAGAGGTCTTGGAGCTGTTGAAGAAGACCAATAGAAGGAGTGAATGAGAGGGGAGGTGTAGAGACACCGAAGACAGCAGCATAATGTCTTAGCTGCTGCTGCAGCAGCAAAGACATCCCACAGCTACCTCCTAAAATAATGCAGCTATTCACGAGTGCTGCATACAAAGGCTGCAGCACAAGTGCTGCTGCTGCTGCTGTTGAAGGCCCTCGCCTACAATGCTTGTCTATCTGCTGCACCTGAACGCAGCAAACAGATACCCATGCAAGCAACACCAGCAGCAACAGCAGCAGCAGCAGCAGTAGTAGTAGTAGCAGCAGTAGCAGCAGCAGCAATGAACAGCAGCAAAAAGAAACACAGACATACACACAAACACATGCACCAAATATTACCGTGGACAAACACAAAAACTGTCTACAGTATGCGGTTTAGGGCATACGCGGTAGGGTTTAGGGTTTAGGGTTTAGGGTTTAGGGTTTAGGGTTTAGGGTTTAGCGCATACAGACCTTATAAGTGAATTGAGCTGGTTAATGCTTTAGGTTTTAAGGCTTATGGTTAAAAGATCCTAAAGGTGAATTGAGCTGGACTATAGTTAAGGTTTTAGGGTTTAGGGTTTAGGGTTTAGGGTTTAGGGTTTAGGGTTTAGGGTTTAGGGTTTAATAATACCCTATAGGTGAGTTGAGCTAGTTTGAGGTGTATCTCCATCTTTGTAAGACAACTCGCTGGAAGAACGCCTTCTGCTGCTATTGCAGCCCTCCTTAGTAAGACAAGAGCCTAACAAATAAATAAATAAATAAATAAATAAATAAATAAATAAATAAATAAATAAATAAATAAATGTATATATTTATGTATGAATTAGCAATATATGAATGCGTTAATACATTAATAAATAAATACACTTGGATATGAATAAATGCAGTAAATATAAATAAATAAATAAATAAATTAAGCAAATAAATAAACAAATAAATAAGTAAATAAAAGAATAAATAGATAAATAATACAAAGACAAATAAATAACAATAAATAAATACAAATAAATAAATAAATTATTAATGGAGGATATCCACTAAAAAACAAACATGACGTAAAAAAACAAAAAAAAATAAATTAATTAATGCAAATTAAAAAAATAAATAAAACAACGAGCGGCCATCGAATAATAAATAATAACTTTCATAAATAAATAAATAAATAAATAAATAAATAAATAATATAATAAATAAATATAATAAATTGCTGAGGGACAAACAAAAACAAAAAAGAATAAATAACAACACTTCACTGTAGATGTGCAGCCACAACAAAACACAAAAATATATCTGCAGACGAATTGAAGATAGCCAGCATCATAATTAGGGTTTAGGGTTTAGGGTTTAGGGTTTAGGGTTTAGGGTTTAAGGTTCAGGCTTCATCTTTTATTGTGTAGGGTTAAGATTAACGGGTTCAGGCTTCAGGGTTCAGACTTCAGGGTTTAGGTTTTAGGGTTTAGGGTTCAAACATCAGGGTTTAGGGTTTAGGGTTTAGGGTTTAGGGTTTAGGGTTTAGGGTTTAGGGTTTGACCTGTATTGGGTTTGCTGCGGGTTGTGCAGCGAGTAAGCCTGCAAGAATCGTCCGGGTGTTGAATAGAGCGGAGTGCTGAGGGTGTAGGTTTAAGCTGTACATACACTCTATTTTTGAATATAGTTTTCTTGCTTTTATATTTTGGCTAGCAGCAAGAGCAGCATCTGCTTCTTCTATTTGCTGCTGCAGTCTCTGCTCTAGCAGCAAACACTGACGGCTTGCAGCAGCAGCACATAAACCGCAGCTGCCGCATAACCACTTCTCTTCTTCGTCGTCTTCAGCTGCTGCTGCTTCTGCTGCTGCTGCTGCTGCTGGATGAGCAGGAGCAGCACGTGCATTGTGGGGCCCCACACTGAGAGTGTTTGCAGGTTTGCTTTTAATAGCTTGCATGCGTCTTGTTGCAGCAGAAGGAGCAGCAGAAGGAGCAGCAGCAGCAGCAGCAAATGCAGCAAGTCTAGCAGCAAGTTTTTTGCTTTTATGAGGGAGAAGAAACCCACGAATGCATTTAAAGCACCGAACTCCTCTTAGAAATCTGCTGCCTTCTGAGCTGTCTGTACACCTCAAGCAGCCGCAACCAAATATCCTGGGCCTTGCAGTAATTATTTTTCGTTCTTTTTGGGGTTTATATAAATCTTCTTCTAAAGAAATACAAAGACGTCCTCCTTCAGGAATAAAACAAAGAGATCTAACAGCTACACTACCATCTTCTTCAATAGAGATGCAGCAAGAAGGCTGGCAGCTGTGCTGCAGCAGCAGCAGCGAAGGAGTTAATACAAGCCCTGTAGCTCCTACCCAAGAAGCTGCTGCTGCAGCAGCAGCAACAGAAGGTACAGGGATGAAAGGAGAAGACTGCCAGACTGATAAACACAAATTTATTAACTCTTTTTCTTTCAAATATAATAATAATGAAGCTGAGAACTCCCGCTGCAAACGACGCACCAACACCTTCAGCTGCCTGTACACCTCAGGCTGACCCTCTCTTACAGACGCTTCTTGTGAATTCCAGCTCAGCAGCTGCTCCACCACATCCCCAGAAGCATGAACATCATTACTGCTGCTGCTGCTGCTCCTGCCTGCTGTTGTTTGCTGCTGCTGCTGCAGCAGCTGCCTGGCTTCTCGCTCAAGCCCTGTTTTAACTAACGTGCGGAATATATGCAGCACCATTGTCGGCGTGAAGTTAGATTCTTTTGCTGCTGCTAGCAGCAGCGGCATTGCAGAACACTCTGCTGCATGTATGCGACTGTTTCTGAGGAGACAGCGAAGAGAGCAGAAGACGAAAGGACAGCTGTGGGGTCTTAAAGGACATGAGAAGGCTTCGTTGGGATCGGATCCCATTTGAAGACAATGAAAGCAGCTGCTGTAGATCTGCCCTGACTGCAGCAGCAAAGGAGTTAATATAAATGGTTGCTGCTTAAATATTACTTCTCCTGGGTCTAACTTTCTATTTGTAATTGCATACATCTCTACACCAAAACGAATAACAGAGACAGGCGCTCCTTCAGGTGTATATAAAGAAGAAAGATGCTGACTGGTCTCATACGATTTCTTTGCAACCCAGGGAGGCGTATCAAACAGCTTTAATAAAAATAAATGCGGCAGCTCAAGCTGCTGCAGCAGCAGCTGCTCTTCAGTATTTTCTAGCAAACGTAACAATGAACGATTGCCGGGAGAGTTATACAAAGCTCCCCATAGAAACTCTTGGGCTTTGTTTAACTCGTTCTGGTGTATATACACCTCAGCTAGCATTACAAAACCCTCAGCGTTACGAGGATTACGATCAAGAAATCGTAATACAGCACCTTCGGCTTCTTTTAATCTGCTAGATTGAAGTTGCTGCTGCTCCTCCTGCTGCTGCAGCAGCTGCTTCAGCATTTGACGCAGCAGCAACAACTCTTCAGTCTCCCGCTGCTCTTCTCTCTGCTGCTGCTGAACCCCTGCAGCCTTTGGTGGACTACCCCACTGCTGCCCCTCTCTCGACAGCTCAAACACTGCCTCTGCAGCACGAAAGGAATCAACAGAATAAGGAGAAGAAGAGCAGCTACTTGCTGCTATCTGCTGCTCTTTTGCTGCTGCATCTTTCGCTTGCAATGTATGCAGCTCCATGCGTAGCGGATGGGCCACGAGGCCCGACACCTGAGAAGTGAACATTGCCGCAATTCTGCTGCTGCTGCTGCTGCTGCTGCTGCAGTTGCTGCTGCTCCCGCTGCTGTTGCTGCTGCTGCTCCCGATGCTGCTGCTGCTGCTCTCGCTGCTGCTGCTGCTGCTGCTGCTGGCGCAGCAAGAATTACAGATTCAATGAAATATATTATTTGTTACATTTATTAAATTGTAATATCAAAACAAATACATGCAAATTTATTTCACAGGAGGCACCGCAGGGCTCGAGCACCCAGTCATTGTTGATGGAGAAAAACACAAAAATAACAGTTAAAACAAGGACAAAAGTTTTTAAAAATGAACTAAAATTAAATAAAATAAAATAAGACATTTTCTTAAGGGAAGAATTCTTAGAAAAAGACCTGGTCTATGAACAACCCCCGGCTGAACCTACTACACCAGCCAATGGGGGGCGTGGGCGATATGTAGGGAAAGCGAAAATAAATATTGAAATCTGCGAAAATGTTAAAGAAATAAGTTTTAAATTGTTTTATTTCTTTGAAATAATATTATTTAAATTGTTTTTTGAAGGAATATGTCCTGCTTCCTCCATTATCACACCGAAGGGGTTATTCATCTTCGTAGCCAATGGGCTTACCCAGTGGTTGCCTCTGCGGGAGAAGACAATCAGAAAAATATCCTGTAAATTAAACGTAAAACAAATAAATAATTAAACTTAAAATATATTTAATTCTATCTTATAAATATTTCGGAAGAAATGTTCATTTTAATGATCGTTCTAGTCTCATGAATACCCGTATGCTAAACTTGAATAATGCACCGTCTGCAGTGTGATAGGGGTTTGCAACAAAATCTAAGGCTTTTAATGCTTTTTTCCTTTTAACTTTACTTCAAACGCTTTTTTCAGTTTATTTTAATTGAAAAATATTTAAATAATTCGATATTTTCGGACAAGTATCTGTGAAACCAGCCGTACACATTATTCTCCCGTTGACAGCCATCATAAACAGCACCCCTATACATAAGTTTGTTAGGCTTTCCTGAAGACGATCAATGAAACTAAAAACAAAAATATAACAAAATGAAACTCAGTTTAATCTAAACAACGAAGAATGCCTCCTGAAGCTTGAAATTAACACGGGTATTTCCCTACTCTCTGGTGTATGCACAACTTCATGAACTTGAAAAGAAGACAAAAAAGAAATGCGTCAACAAATAAAATATTAAGGAGTAAACTTTGTCTTCTTCATCCAACCAAAAGGATTAAAGATGCAAATTAAGTGTTGGGGATCCTCTCTAGGGGTTTATTGCTGAGGGTTTGTATATATATATATATATA